AGAATACATGCAAATCAGAGACATCGCTGTTAACGTTGAAGAAGAAAAGTGAGTGCACGTGGGCTGCAGACGACCACCGTGAACATCAAACAGAAATGACACAGTGAGATCAGGTCATGTGACGGGGCGTAATGGGTTTTTTGGCATCACAGGATGATGCAATATGGTGGCAGCATGGGTAGAGGTCTTCATCCAGCTGTTGATAGACACATGGTGCTGCTGCTGATGATGATGACATTAACTTGATGTTTCATTACATATCCAGCCAGGTGGTGCAGTGGTTGAGTGTGCGGTTTGCAATCAGAAGGATAGGCACTGAGCTTTATCTTGGTAAGATTGTTCAAATTAACGTAACTTTGTGCGAATGACAAGTGTGGTTGTCCTGTTCAAAGACTGTCTCCTGCCAGGGGATAGGGGGTTTTCCACCACTACATCAGGGCTGTAAACAAGAGGTGAGTGCTCATATTTGCAACAAAAAAACCCACTTTGATTTCACTTTATATGTGTTGCTTATTTAAAATCAACTTTCACGGTGTCCTCCCTCTACTGAAGCAATTGTTGATTCGTGTTCATTTCTATTGGTATGGCTCGAATGAATTTCCATTGGTGATCTTAAGGCAATAGTGGAAGTTCCACATTCCAATGGCAGAGAACAGACTTTCCAAAAGACGGCCCACTGTTGATTCCCCACAAAGAGTTGCTTCGGCTCTTGGTTCTCGTTGGTGAAATATGGCAGTGGTTGAATGGACCACCCAGCCAGGAGTTGAACTCTTCCCTCTGAGTGTGAGATAAGTGCTATGAGCACAGCACCCCCCCAGGCAGATTGCGTGTTTAAGCCTGAAGTGGTTTTTGTGTGTGCGTGCCTTTTCACTTTGGTAGATGTATTGTGTCCTGTACTCCTACCTCTGATTATTCTCATGCAATTTTACGAAACTCTTTTGGAAAAAAAAATGCTACCCCAGTGGAGTTTTAAAAATAAGAGTTTTGCAAATAATGTGATCGGTTGCTAAATACACACACATAAATATAATCTTGACACGTTCAAAACTGCGTATGCATGCATATGTTTATCTATACCACCATTATCAAGGAGTGATGAATATTTGAATGGTGAAATAGCCTTGAGTCGCATCCGTCTCCCCGGGTTGGCACTCGGCATACCCTGCAGGGAGATATTTCCCATTTTGACAGCGGAACATTTTCTAGGGCAATTACAGCAGCTTCAGTGGTTGCACGGTGTTTTATTACAATCTCTGCTTCCACGCGTTAGGATCTGTTGGGGATAACTCGGCCGTACATTTATACCCCTGAGTGTTTTTTTACCGTGATACGTTCGATGATTTGGGAGGTACGATGTATCGGTTCAAGTGACAGTGATCACTGCGCGTATTGCAAGTGGGGATTGTTTCCAAATGAAACGATGGTCGTTCCCTTGTTAGACCAAGTGAGAGAACATCGAGATCCGTTGAAACTTCCATTGGTGAGAGGAGCAGATAAGCAGAGATGGCCGTGGCAAGGGGCCGCATATCTCCGAGAAAGTAATGGCAGCTCCACATCCCCACGGCAGGAGTGAGTTAATCTGGAGAGGGCAAGCACTGTGGACTCGAGGGATATAGGGCCAAGTCAACTTCTGTATGGGAGCTGAACTTGCAAGATTGGACAGTGAGCCGCACCGCTCTATCGAGCACAGTAGTTCGCGACCAATGTTGTGTTCGTGGGATTTTTTCAATTGTTATTTTAGCTATGGCACTATTCGTAAGAGTCTACTCTTAAAGATGCTGATACAGGGTTTATAATATAAGGTTCATAGCGTAAGTAATGTATTCAGAAATTCCTGTAGAATTTACCACCGAGCTTCAGCAATAAGCTGTCATATAGATTGGCTCAGAGGACAGCTCTTTCTGTGAGGCTACCAAGTGGTCGAATAAGCGAAGATTTTTTATTATCATGAATGGAATTTTTATGATCACTATTAGTAATTAAATATGTGACGGTCACAACAACATGCAGCATTATGGGAATACGGCCAACATCTGGCTGTGCCAGTTATCCGCGACCTGTGACCCCACATCTGTGTGCGGGGGTTGAGGAATAAAATTCCTCCATAACTTACCCTAGTCCATTCCTCTTCCTCTGTATTATTTTATTTAGGTTTATTATTTCACCCGCCTTTAGTTTTTTTATTTTAATTTCCCCTCCATTGCTGGCCTAGGTTCTCGTGCTGCCTCCTGACCCCTAGCCTAGCCTCCTCCCACAATACCTTGTTCTAGATTTTTTCACCTCCACAAACTTCTTGAATTTTGTCCCCAGACCTTGCCAGCACTCACCCATGGGATTTGCTGGCGCTGAGCCTGTGTAGACCTCGCCAGATTCTGATCTCATCGGCCCTCTCCATCTCTCTGGCTGTGAATCTCATTGACACAAGGCCCATGGTTGGCGCTGGGTCTCGTGATTCTATCGTCCCTGGACGTCGGTGCTTCACCCATACACTTTGCTGGCACCTGGGGCCTTGGACTTGCTGCTCAGTTTGAGCGGTCTAAGTTTTAGCCCCCCCCCCCCTCGCTGCCTGCCCCCCAGTTTCGCGAGTGTTGCCAAAATGTAAAAAAATCAATTGACAGACCCTTCTAAAGTCGTTAAAATTGTCACGGTACAATTTACCGTGGGTTAAACACAGTAAACCGCCGCATGATCCTTAAAGCATACCTGGAATGGCTCCTAACTGCATCGTGCCATCGTGCCAGATTTGTTGCTAGTCGCCCTGACAACAATTGGTCACTTGGGAAACACAAAAAGGCACTGGATCTGGAGGTAAAATGACTACGGTGGCAACACTGAGTTTTGCTGGTTGGCTTTGGTTCATGGCTCCTGTCCCCTGTTTTGTGTTTGTAGTGCGTCTTGAGATGCAGTCACATTTATTTTCTTTGCGAGAATTAGTTTTTTATTACGCTGTAACATTTGACTAGGACAAGCTGAAATGTAAAACTGAATCAGGCTGCTGTGCGCATACACGCTGCGTGGATTATTAAGGGCTTTTCACGATGCCTTTCAGCCAACTATATTTTACCACTCATTATTTTCCATTCGGTCATGTTGATGTTTATTCATACGTCACTTTGCGTGTATGGAATACGCGTGCATGCGTTTGTAGGGTTTGCAGACCTCCTGCCCTGGAGATGAGTATTGTGGCTGGCAGATGGCAAGAGATTGATTCGTAGATATGCGGCAGGGTGGGACATGGAGGGGAAAGAGAGTGTTGTGTGTGTGTTGTGTGTGTGCTGTGTGTTGTGTGTGTGTTGTGTGTGTGTTGTGTGTGTTGTGTGTGTTGTGTGTTTTCTGGGTGTGTGTGTGTTGTGTGTGTGTTGTGTGTGTTGTGTGTGCTGTGTGTGCTGTGTGTGTGTTGTGTGTGCTGTGTGTTGTGTGTGTTGTGTGTGTTGTGTGTGTTGTGTGTGTTGTGTGTGTTCTGGGTGTGTGTGATTATGGTGATGGACGATAGCGGCGGTGCTACTGTTTTGCACACTCGTGAAACCCATTACGACCCTAATTGTGACCGTGCGTGCAATGAGACGCACACCAAATGATTCAAACTTTAAAGACCTGCGTATGTGAGTGCAATATGTTATACTCTCTGCTAAGTTGCATTTGCAATAGAGCGTCGCTTGGACTAGAGCTGATGTGAACCGATAAAAGTTGATCCAGACTGTTTCCCTTCCAAGCTAATGTGAGGAATTACTCATCATAATTAGACATTTTAATTGCGATGGCTGCCAAACTCTACAGAGCATGACCATTCCTGACTTGCCTTATCAACCGTGGAGGGATGATGGCCTGAGTTGAACCCAAAATAGGATTTGATCTCACAACCTTGCGAGCGTGATTTGAGCAATATACCAACAGCACCACCTTGCAGGATATTGTTAATACTGAATGAAATAGGATCGTAATTGTTTCATTTATTTTTCCAGCAATGCTTCACTGACTCCCGAAATTTAGGATCATTCAACAATGGGATCAATGGTAATTTATTCTTAAATGAGTATTTTAGTGACCATGTCGTGTGTGGGAGGAAACCAGAATACCTGGAAGAAACCAGCGCAGGAGGGGGCGACACGGACAAATCGGCACAGGTGTTTGTTGTGCTGCCATGCCGTGGCTACCTCGTTGATGTTTCACAGCAAACAATGCAATCTGTGATCGTCCGCCTGGATGTACAGCACTATACTGTGTCACTGGCACAGACAGGCAGCCCAACAGCCAAGGGGAAGCCACAACTAAATCGTGTCTCTTTAACGTCACCGCGGCTCACACCCAATTTACTATTAAGAGTACAGTCTGGGATTGTTGCTTTGCGAATATATCCATTTAAGTAATTTACAAACAATTTGGCAAAAATGTGGACCTTTGATGCCAGCACACACACGTCTTTCTCTTTTTTTGTATAATGCGCTGAAATTTTTTTTCACATCCACCGTGTAGCAGATGGTCAACAGGCCCGCATCATTCATGGGGGCAGATGCTGGGCTAGAACCGCAGTCCTCTGCAACCGGCGGCAACACAACAACCGCCGTTTGCCATTAACTGGCGGTGACTTCACCATGGCACTTGTGCCAGGTTAGGTGCACTTTAAGGTCACGTGAAGTGTCGACCGCCCGCTGGCAGGAGGTCACGGGACAGACCCAGGTGCCAAGGGTTGACTGACTGAGGTGACTGGTCGATGTCCAATTGTGTCCCCTACTGTGCCAACTCGCTGTGTTCATTGTTGTGGGCGTCGCTCCAACACACACTGCCGTTCAGCAACGTTGCGTTCCCTGCTGTTGTTTTCCGCTTGCGTTTCAGTCTAAGTTCTGACTTAAGTCCGTGTCTGTTTAAATCAGCTCCATCACATCGAGGGTTCCAAACAAAAGTGGCCGTTTGTTCAGAATAAGGGCCCTTGAGTAAACGGTTCCGAGCGCGCGAACACGCCGGCTCACACGGGTTTGTCGTGTTTGTGTGCCGCGTCCCAGGCAATGTTCGCTCGCTACGTGCCAGAGATCGCCGCTCTCATCCTCAACCGGAGGAAATACGGTGGCGAGTACCTCCCGACCCGCGGGCGCAAGTGAGTGCCAACCACTGACGTCATAGCTGTTCAGAGCACTATCACTCAACACTCCCCTCTGTCCGTGTGTGTGGACTGATCCCCATCTGTTCCACACTGCCTTTTACTCCCGTGGGTGGACTAATCCCCATCTGTTTACGGCACCTCCGATTAGCACGGTTGGCTACGTACGGTGCGAAAGAAGTTCAATATACATACTTAAGGGCTGTGACGATGCATCGATTCATTGATCAATGTTTATCCCTAAGCTCGTGATACATGCATCGAATCATCGGTCTAGGAATCAATGTTATTACATTTGTATATGCCATGTGAAATGTTAAAATTGTCCTTCCAGCCACCAGAGGCTGCTGCATTCAACACCGTGTCAAAATTTCGATGTAAAGCTTTCGTGACTGCAGGGATTCATCTTCTTGGTTCTTTCGGTAAAGTCACGTAGAAGGGAAGTAATAAAATAATGAAAATAAAACATAATAAAATAATTATCACGACGTTTCTTTCTTCACCTGAGGACGGCTGCTTGCGTTGTGGCCGAAACGTCGTGAGAATTATTTTATTATGTTTTATTTGTATTATTTTATTACTTCCCTTCTACGTGACTTTACCAAAAGAACCAAGAAGATGAAACCGTGTCAAAAGATAATCGATTTTATGAATCGAATCATGACCCCGAATCGTAACAGTTGATTACTTTGCAGAGGGGGGGGGCGAATAATTACCCCTCCCTCAGCCCCAATAATCAATATCATTGTAGTCAGTCTCATTACGATAAACATTCAGACCACCATTGCCATGAGGCATGACATATCCACTGCCAGGTGACGGCCTCTGTGCGACGTCACGGTCCTGCGGTGACACAATCCATCTGACGACTGCGAATAACGGATTCGTATGAGCATGAGTTGATGCGTGTATTATGAGGGCTTAACTGATATTAATGGTTTCATTCATGGTTGCACATGTAATATTATACACTGAAATTCAAATTGCTGGATTTCTTAGATCCCAACACATTTTTTATTCTCCCTCTCACACTCAATTTTGTCACATTTTACACAGAATTTCAAACAAAATAGTTTCAGTTCCATGCAATGAAGAATTGAGTTAGTCAAGTGAAATATAATTTAAAGGGTCCTAAGGGGTGAATATCATTCGTTTATAAGTATTGTTTGATGATTTTACTTCATAAATCAAATGTCTTTGTAAAGCGTCAGGTAAACGCGAGAGATGTATGTTATTTAATCTGTTTTCCTGCTCAGTGAAGCCACAAATAAATTACATCCGACTAATGCACGGATGTCTGACTCCCGAGTGGAGAATTTTTTTGTTTTAATTACCAAAATAGTGATTGTGTGTCATTAAATTTACATATGCGTTTCATCTCTGTGTGTACAGTATTCACGTCTGCACACACCGGTCTGTTCTTTCAAGTTATGTCAAGTGGCCTTTCCTCTTCCCTTGACGGCACTAATTTCTCAGCAACATTACTCCCTTAGGCCCTTTGAAATGTGCGTATTTTCTTTTCATCTCGGCGGACTTTCATTTTTTTTCATGCAGCAAAATTGATTGAAGTGCGGTGGCAATTAAAACATTTTAACTTCGTTAAAGGGCAGCGGACGTGCCGTGCAAGTTTGCGGCCTCAATTCGCTCTCATTGCTCCGGTGAGAAGCGCACGTCCTCGGCGGACAGCTGCTCTGCGGCGTCTGGGTGGTCTCTACGCTTCTCGTGAGCAAAATTGCCGCCTGGTAATACGTGCGGGAAATTAAATAGAATCGCGGCGCTTCACCCGAAACGTTCATGGCCAAGGAACCATCTTACTGTCATTTGCAAGCTTCTTCTTCCGACCATTTTCCACAAAGTCAACGTTGGAGGGAAGAAGCTGCCGTGGTCACCGGGTCTATGTCTTGGCACAGAGTTGGAATAATGGGGGCGAGATTATTAAAGGATCTGTCCAACCGGCGACCATGGTTAGTCGGGCAGGCAGGTTGTGCATGGTGCGAGGAAATGTGGCTGCTCCCACCTCTTTAAAGATGTCTGGCCACGTGTGGAAGAGTAGGCCAAATACCCCCATATATACCCATTTACTACGGCTTGTTGGACTGAGGTGGTGGGGGGGCGGGGGGGGGATTTAAGAAACCTGTTCCATTGTTTCAACTGCCACAACAGGGAGATGGAATCCAACCGGCCGCCTCTGCATGGCAAGTGTGCTGATCGGGTAAATTGTTTATGTTTATTGCTGTAGATATATATACTTGCAGCAGTCCGGTAACTGGTTTGTTAGAGTTTGTTTTGATTTCCGTTACTGGCAATGCAAGGGACACTTATTTTAACAACTCTCATACGAGGAGCAGAGGCCTCTCTTTGTCAGATCCATAGTAACTCGATGGGAGGTCACTCCGTCTCCTCTAGAATGCCCTTCTGGGACTCCTCATTGCCATTGCTCCCTCTCCCTGTGCACATACTGGCTCAAGCCTCCATCTGAATCTGACTCACGGCCTTTCCCAATCACAACACTCCCCCTCTTCCCTCCCCTCGGCGCTCGATCCACACTCTTTTTACGACATATTTACACATTCCTGCGGAGGGAGCTGGTAGGAACGTTGGGTTGCTCGGTCAATGGCCAGGGTCAACGGCGGCGTGGTGTATTCCGCAAATATGCCCGACTGTGAGGGCGGGCACAAGCCGGCGTGAGTAAGTTAAACGTTGAGTTTTATAAGGGCACCACGGAGTGACCAGCCCCTCCCCACCCAGCCCCACCCCTCCCAACCCCGACCCAGCCCCACCCTCCCCACCCAGCCCCTCCCCACCATCCCCACCCAGCCCCTCCCCACCCTCCCCTCCCCACCCAGCCCCACCCTCCCCACCCAGCCCCTCCCCACCCTCCCCCCACCCAGCCCCTCCCTCCCCACCAAGCCCCTTCCCACCCTCCCCTCTCCACTCAGCCCCACCCCTCCCATTTTTGGATGCACGACGGACGGACACAATAATCCCCTGTGAGATGGTGGAACCAGTGGGTTCCTACCAGTATCAGTCGTATATCCTTTAGCCGCTGTTGCACAAGTCTCGCTTATTGATTAGATTCACCAAATTGCTTAAAAAGATGAAGATGATCGATTAAAATGGTGCTCGAGATGAATCGTCAAGTGGGAATGTTGGTTTTATAATTTATCGTCGTAAAATGTAATTTGATCAAATTAAGCAATGAAAGCTGTGAAATATTAACCAATTAAATAGAATGTGAACGTTTTGAACACTATTATGCTTTTAGAGCAATATGTACAAATTATACACTTCAAGGGACCATGGGCATTGTTTTAAGACCGTTAAATGCAACGCTTTGTCATAAATAGCCTGTTAATTAATATTTGATTACAATTTATCGAGGAGTGCACCATTAAATGCGATAATATCTACTTTATCTATTCTGCCACGACGTTCAATAAAGATGATGCCTGAATAATTACCCGCCAATTAGTCACCATTCAAGGGATGTTTAAGCACCTACAAAATTACGGTCAATTTCATAACTGATTACTCTTTAAAGACTGCTATTAAATAAATAAGTATCCCGTATATCCAAGTCACAGTTAAAGTGTAAACCTTTAAGAGTCTCGATGCTTAGCAATGTGTAGATTAGTGGCACTGGGCCTCAGGTTGAATCTCCACAATCATATGGCAGATGCCAGGCAGAGGAGTATTTTTTTATTGACTTAAAGTTGATGATCAGTAAGAATGGGGGTTGTGACTGAAATTAAATTACCTTTAACCCATTGATCCTGCATCCCTCCCAGGACAACCTCGGATTAGTTTCATCTTTGATGTCTCTCCATCAGCACGGTGTGGCCTGCGATACGTATGTTGTTGTGTGCCCTGACTCTATAGGCAAAAACTGATTTTAAACGATCTGTATTAGTACAACACACATCATCCACGTGGCAACATTCATGAACGCAGCCTACCTCTCGCTACACTGAGGCACACGCCCAAAGCTTGCATCTTAAAGGAGTTGACCAGCCTCAGCTTTGCATCCGCTGTTGATATACAACCAGCACGTGCCTTCATTAGTCCTCCGCGAAATGTCAGGTCTGGCTCCAACTCCCTCCGCTCTGTCCAATCTAGAGCTTTCCTCATTTCAATGTCTGGACCCTTCCCCCAAAGCCCTCAAGCAGCTTCGTATTTTTCTTCCTCTTGGCCTCTTTCCCAACATCCTTCCTTACAGAACTCCCTTCATTCAGCTTTCACCTCGGAGAATGTGCCCAACCCACATCTGGCATTTGCTGAATGTGCTTTAAATCAAAGTAAAACTAAAATATCCCTGGAATGTGAAAGAGTGTTCTGTCTCCCTTGTCAGCCTTGAGGCGTTTGTGAAAATGTCATATTCCTATGGTGAGGGCCAGTATCTCCATAAGATGACCCGCAAACTGGCACCCCATGTTTGTATCGACTCCCTAGGAACGGCGGAGGGATGAATCGAGCCCTGACCGACATATGAACTGGAGAGCTTCCAATCGCGAGCCGAGCGCCCCTGTCAGAGCAGCGCTCAGGCCAGACCCTCCCTAAATAATACACGGCATTTCGGAAAGCTTGGACTGGGGCCAGCCGCTGGCAAGAGATACCCCTATTCCTCACATGGCCGAGCGCATTAAAAAAATATCTGCGGCATATTCATATCAGATTGCCTGCCCCGCGGAATCGAATAAATAAATGACTTCGCTTCGTTGCCACGCGTGTTCCCTGCGCCGGTGACGGTGGGGGAAATGATTGCCTGCCCGGCGTGCGTGTGCGCGCGCGCTTGGGGAAACTCTAGAATGGGTCGTTTGTCACACTTGTCTGCAATAGGAGTCCTTGAACCGGAGCCAACCCAGCCCCGTCAACCCCCGCAGCTCCCACTCGCTCACCTCCACGCCGTGTGGCTGTCCCCACTCTCAGTTCGAGACCGTTTCCAATCGCGACCTGGGCGCCGCTTGAAACGATGGGTAAAGTTTATTAGATTTCCCCCC